TCCCCATACGCCACACTCAGGTCCCTCCTGGCGGGTTCCCAGGCCCCTCAGCATGCTCAAGGCGCTCCCTGTTTTCTGCAGCGCCTCCGAGCCCCAGCTGCGGAGGCTCCTGGACGCAGCGAGGCTGCAAGGCAAGCAGGGACTGGTTGGGTCGGGGATGGCCACTGAGCGTCTTTGCAAGCTTCTGTCGAGGCTGCTGGAGGGCCAGCCAGTGAGCCCCGACCAATCCCACTCACCCTCCACACACGACCCCTCCCATTGCCACAGACCACACGAGGACGCAGGGCGCGATCTGGAGCAGCGCCGACTCGGCTGCTGCCCCTGCGCTGCATGTGGTGGCCTCGGGCGTGGTGACCGCCACCATTGCGCACGCCGGCGGGTGGGAGGCGGAGGCCCACCAGGTACGCTGCACGGCCGGGTTGAGGAGTGGTGTGTCTGTCGTGGAGTGGAGCAGCAGCCGCTGACAAATCGTCCTTTGATAAGTTCTCAGGCATTGCGGGCACCCCCCTGCTGCCCCTTCTCGAAAGGAGGCACCGGGCACCCTCCCATCCCATCCTCCCTCGCACCAAACACACACCTCATGCCCTGCAGGGCGTCGGCTTCGTGTACGGCGCCCTGGACCTTATCATGGGCGGCGCCACCTCGCCCTGGCGCCGCAGCGTCGCCCCTCACGTGAATGCGCTGGGGCAGGGCCCGCAGGTGTACACGTTCCCCGCGGCTTCCCTGGCCGCCCTGCCGCCCGCGTGCCAGGACGACCTGCTGATCCAGGCCGCCGCCGAGGTGTTGGAGGGGACAGAGAAGGACCTCAACAGGGACACCAGGTGGAGAGGGTCTGGTAGTGGGAGTGGAGAGCTGATCTGTGCATCTGCTGGCGACGAAAGGGATTCCTAGCTTCCCTGGCTCATTCGGATCTGCACCCATGCCTGGAGAGGGGCCTTCCGTTGGCATGACAGTCCTTGACAACGCCCCATCGCCACCCCCCTGCAGCACGGTCATCCTCTGGTTCAAGGGCGGCGCCTCGCTGCCCGGCCCCGGCCTGCCGCGCCTGCAGAGCATGGGTGAGTGAGCGTGGCGTGCCGGGATTCCCCGGCTGCCAATCAGCGCACGCTCACTCTCCGCTCACTCACACACCCTCCAAACACCCTCCACTCCCTCGCACAGTACAACACGAGATCCAGATGCACCTCTCCCCGGGGGAGAGCCACGTGCTGCGCCTGGAGCCGGGCGCGGAGTGGGCGCAGGCGTCCCACGCCGTCCTGCTGAGGGGCTCCCTGGTGCCCCAGGCGCAGGCCGAGGCCACGTGCGTGCCGCCGGCCGTGCTCCCTTTCCTCCCGGCGCTGAGGCCGCGGAAGGACGCCGCGCCCCAGCCACAGCGCTGGCGGGCGGGGCCGGAGGGCGCCGTGCTGGTGCACCTGGGCTAGACGATTTCGGGCTGGCACCCTCGACTCGGGGTGCTGCAGCGTTCTCATTGCTATTCCAATGTATGATCTAGAAATTCTTACGGAACAACACGTCGGGGGGTTGCAAATGTGCACATTTGATGAATGGGGAGAGAGAGCCTGCGAAAGTCCAAAATCAGGCGGGGCCGGTGCGTACCAGACCCCTCGCTGATCCCCCCGACTACGGCTTCAGCAGCGCCGCCAGCTCCTCCAGCGACCTGACGGTGTACCTCGGCGTGGTTGGGAGGTACGTCGGCCAGTGCGCCAGCGCCTCCCGCTGCACATACGCGCCCTGCAGCCCCTCCCGCATCGCCGCAAACACGTCCCAGGGGTGCGCCGCCACCAGCAGGACCTGTGTGTGGTGTGGTGTGGAGTGGGATTGGGATGCCGGCGATGGTGGGGACACCGGCCGAGGCACAACAATCGCGCTGGTATGCGGCAGGATCCGTTCAAAGCCAGGGCGGCAGCGCCGCGGCGTCAGAGGGATGGCCTCTGGCCGCCCATCACACGCACCACCCGCGCATCCTTTCCTGCCGTTCCCTCCAGCGATTCGCGCTCACCTCGTACGGCTGCAGCTTCAGCTTCTCCACGGCAAACTGGTAGGCGGCGGGCGCCGGCTTCCAGGCCACCGCCATGTTGATGTCCATGAGGGGCCCCAGCGCGCCCGGCCCCACGCCCGCCCGCGCCAGCACCGCCTTGGCCAGCGCGGCGGAGCCGTTGGTCATGACGGAGATGCGGAGGCCGGCGGCCTGCAGCGCATTGACCCCAGGCCCTACGTCTGGGAAGGGGTGGGCGGCCGTCAGGGCCGCCATCACCGTGTCCACCGCCGCCGGGACGTTGGGCCTGCATGCGGAGGGGCAGGTCGGGATGTGTCTAATCTTATCTTTGGAGGGGTGCAGAGGGCATTCTGCCGGTGTCAACACAGCATCCTGCATGCCGTCGATGAATGACAACCCCATGCGCCCCCTCAAACACCTCACATGGTGTCGCCGTTCTGTGCGAGCAGCTTGTAGAGGTGGTCGCCCGCAAACTCCCTGAATGGTTGGAAAAACCCCGCCAGCTGTGCTGCAAATGCATCCTTCAGGACGTTGGCAAACCATGCCTGCAAGCTTGTTGGGGAGAGGGTGCGTGGCTCAGAGTTCTGAGGGGCATGTCCACGATGCAAGAATCATCTCCATCTCTGAATGTTCCAGATCTATGCAAGTGGACCGCGCCACCCTGGGATCGATGAAAACCGCACAGATCACAACACTATGGGCCAATACCAGGCTTTTCAGAACCCAATGGATCAATGCACCCGCACGCACCGGCGCGAGGGCGGGGTCCAGCCCCAGCTCTCGGAATGCGGGTTCGGCAGCATCGCCCACGGAGTACAGGGTGCCATTGACATCCAGGAGGACCGCCTTGATATCGGCCATTCTATAAACTTACAGCAAGCTCATTATTTGAGATTGTAACTGCGTAACAAGTGCTTGCATGCGCCGTGTCTCGGCGTCACCCGCGATCCGCTCTGTGCTCCGAACGGCAGCGCTGGGGTGGTTAGTCATCCCCACGCTGGCACCATCCGAAAGGGTGGGTGGCACGAAGGCTATTCTTACAAAAAACACGGGCGCGCACAGATGCCTTCTGGATTTCTGTTTCAAGATGTGGGAGGCGCGGGGAGGAGGCTGGGCGCTGCACACTTCCCGCCTGGCGGCTCCCGGCCGCCCCAGGTCCCAATCCTCAGTCCTCCTGGAGGTGGCCTGAGGTGAGACCCACGCGCTCCCCAACAATGGACTCGGCGTCGGAGTCCTCCGCCGCCGTCGCGCGGCGCTCGCGCGACGCGGCCCGGCTCCCGCTCGTGGGCGGCCGCGCACGCGGCAGCATGTGCTGCCTGCCGACGGTCTGCTGAAGGGGCGGCCCCGACCCCACCGCGCCGATCACGCCCGCGACGGCTGCCAGCGCCAGCTGCGCGTTGGAGTCTGCCGCCGCCGCGGCGGCACGCTGCGCGTCCGTCACGCCGGGGGACGCACCCTCCCCCGCGGCACCGTTGGCGGTGGCAGTTGCCGACGGCGCGCGGCTGGCTTGCGCCCGGGAGTTTGGCGAGCGCTGCAGGTTGGGGGTGCCGGCCGAGGCGGAGAGCGGGGAGGCCGTGGCCGCCAGGCTGCGGGACAGGAAGCGGCGCAGGGAGGGGGGCAGGTGCTGCAGCGACACCAACATGTTTGGGCGCACCGTCTGCAGGTTGTCCACGTACCTGGGAGGGGACAGGGGGTTGGTGTTGGTGTGGTGGGGGGCATCAATGGAGCCAACGATGAAGCAACAACGGGAGGGATTCGAGCCGACATGAGCTCCCACTTGATGGGTGTTGGCAGAATCTTGAGGTAGAAAAGCGGTGCCCGGTGGGAGGCACACTGCATCATCGCCAACAGTCGAGCTCGCAACCTCCTCCCTCCAGCATGTACGAGTCCCCCCTCCCCACCCCACCCCACCCCACCCCCCCAAAAGACTCACAGGTCGGTCTCGTCCACAATCTCCTGCTGCAGCAGCTCCTCCAGCACGTCCTCGATGGTGATGATGCCGATGATGTCGGGGCAGCTGGCCAGGTCCGTGACATAGGCCGAGGGCTTGCGCAGCGTCAGCCACAGGCCGGGGGAGGGCCCCACGCCGGAGGCGGTGGTGTCGCCGCCGGGGCCAGACACCATGCCGATGGAGCCGCCCTTGAGCGTCAGGGAGCCCTCAGACGCTGAGGAAGTGGGGAGGGTGGATGTTCGGGGCACGCCACACATGTCATGAAGTGGCACGGGCCAGTGCCCCCTGATGCTCCAACTACTTTGAGCCTCACAGGGAGCAGCCAGAACACCATCCCACAAAACATGCAGCTCTGGGAGTCTCACACATCTCCCCATTCCCGACCAAGCTCATCAGCGCGCAGCTAGCGACCCACAAATTCACCCTTCCAGGCTCACCCAGAATTTCTTCCAGCTTGCCCGAAACTTTGGTCAGGCAGGCCATGTGGCTCTTCCCGGTCCTGAAGATCTTCAGCACATCATACAGAGGGATGTCAGACCTGTGGTGAAAGGGGCCCTCCCTGGAATGGGTGACGGGTGCCGGGTGCCTGCTCCAGACATTCACCACCTACCAGCAAGCACGCCGTATTCCGAGACCCCTGCCCGCACCCTCCCTCACCCACTGCCACTCTCGCCAACATCGCTCCGCTCCCACCCCACCTGAGGCATGGAACCTCTCGTATCCGCATGTCCTTGATGCGCTTGTGGCCATCCATCTCCGCCAGCACCAGCTCCTTGACCAGGACCACGCCGACAATGTTCTGCATGGGCATCGGGAAGGTGAGGTGGTAGGCTTGAGGAACGCGCGAGGGGTCTCAATCCTGAATGCAAACGCCGATCGGTGAAGGACTCTCACAACCATTCTAGGCAGCGCTGAGGAGGCAGGGACAAGGTACAGGCCGCGCCGACTACGCGCGGCTCACTGTGAAGGCTGGTTCCCACCACCACGCCGCCGACATCACCCCTCGTCTACGCACCGCCTTGTTGTTGCCCTCATAGACTGGCACGCGTGAGTGGCCACGCTCGATGACGCGGCGCAGCATCTCCTCGTCGATCACGGCGTCGATGGACACCGCGAAGACCTGTGGAGGCGGGGAGGGGAGGATTGGCGGCGAGGGGAGGGGCAGGGCTCCATGGCCCGGCGCAGGGCACCAACCGAAACCAGTCCGGCATCAGGTGTCCTGGTCGCGCCTGAGTGCATCTGAACAGCTGCATGCATGGTGCTGCTACACAGCCATCGAATCGGAGCCGGGCCTCCCAGCGTGGCATGGAATACTGCACTGCAGCGATCACCCACTGCACACCTTGCTCATGGGGGTCATGGCCGTGTCTGCCGTCTTGGTCGCCATGTCCAGCGCGCCTTGAATCACCTGAGGTAGGTCAGGAGGGGCCCAGTGAGTGCTCCTACTGCCTGAAACTATCATGCCTCGGCCTGGCAATGAGGGAATCCCCCCAATTCCGGCGAGCATTCTGCGTGCAGATATCAATTGTCCATGACAGAGCCCCACCGCCCCTTCTCGACGCACCTGGACCTCGTCGTGGGTGAGCACCGACAGCGCGCCATCCTCCTCGGGCTCGGCGTGAATGTTGACAAGGGCCTTCAGCTCTGCACGGCGGAACAAGGCGCTGTCCTCCCCCAGCATCCAGTCGAGAAGCTTGCCTGTGTGGGCATGGCAAAAGGCAAAGACCAAGGACCTCGCTGGGGCGAGCTGGGGAGTGAGACCGGCGGGGCATCATTGGATGTGCAGGGGCCAAGCCCCTGACCACCTGGCGGGCATCTGACCTCTCGGCAGCAGCCCTGCATGCAACAGCATGTTCAGGGTGGTCCTCCACTGCAGAGCATTATCGCACCTATTGGCCAGGTGATGAGGCCCGTGAAAAGCATGAGGAAGCGCACAAGGTAAGAAAAGTATGCTCCAATCTGCAGT